CCCTGCACTTAATTTTCATTGTACAATCAACAGGAATTCCTTGAGCTATGGAAAGTTAAAACTCAGTAAGTTTCCATCAAGTGCAAGACAACATTCTAGAAATGGAAGACTATAAGAGGGTGACTGAAGAGGAATAAAAGCTAGGAATGTATTATTTCGGCTAATTCTTTAATTTGGTCAATTACTAAGATGACATGAAGACATCACAGCTTTTGTTGAAATACACATTGGCGGTGATAAATCTAATGGTCATTGGTGAGGTGGCAAAATGCATTGCCATAACTGACATGTTGAGGATCCTGAGGTCCTTAGTACTTGACTATCACACATCTTGTGCTATGGATGACTTACTTTTAATGACAGATTTTAGGGGCACACATGTGAACAGACTGCTACGGACTGAACTGAGTCTCCCCTATATATATATATATATATATATATATATATACCATATATATATATATACACACACTTTATGTATATATAAGCATCCTCTCTCTTTTATATATATATATATATATATACATATATATATATAAGTGTACTAGCTCTCTTGCTTGTTCTCTCTCCCTCTCTCTCTCCATATAAGCTCTCCTCTCCCCACCCCACACCTACCAAAGGTCAGGTGAGGATAGAGCAAAAAGGTGGCTATCCACAAGGCAAGAAGAGAGGTTTTACCAGAAACCAATCCTACCAGATATTAATATTCAGGAGGTTCAACCTCTGGAATTGAATTTTTTTTCTGTTGTTTAAGGTGTTGGATCTATAGCATTTTGCTGTGGCAGCCTGAGCTAGTTGACTATTCCAGGTGTGTCAGTCAGAGCTCTACAGAAAAGCAGAAACAATTAGATTATATCTGTATGTGACTGACAGCAGATCACATGATCTGCTGATGCAAAGTGTGTGGTGTAATTCAGTTTGAGTCAGATGTGAGAATGGGGCATCTGATGGTGTAAATTCTAGTCTGAGAGCTAGGAAGGAGTGGGGGGGGGGTTCATAGAAACTGGTAATTGTCCTGGTCTGCATCTCAAGTCAAAGATCCAGGAGGCTGATGTCCCAGGGTTGTAGAATATGCCCCAGAACAAGCAAATTCTAATGCTAATCTCATGAACATACCCAGAATCAATGCTTTCAGTATCTAGGCATTCCTTAGCCCAGGCAAGTTGACACATAAAACTAACCATGACAACAAGGATTAATTGCATCAAAACAACATTAACATGCCATCAAGAACCACTACACAGTTATTGTTGTACAACAGACAGCTAGAATAAATAAATCTAGCCACGCGTCATGGGTCACTTCTCATAAGAATTCCTTCCATCCCTCATTTCATTTTCTTGTACCTCAGGAGGCAAATTCTTGAACACCCCATTTTATATACAATCTTGTCTTTGTCATCAACTCCAGATTAAAACTCTAACTTTTTATTTGCAGTACCAAAACTTATGTTCTCTTAATTCTGCTCTGCAATCATTTTGACCAGTTGTATGAGAAATGTATGTTACACATTGATCAAAAGACCAGGACACATCATGGTCAATTCATAGCACACATGTTGAAAAGAGCTGAAGGCCATTTTTTTTTCAAATAAAACTTCTATTTAATCTAATTTCTAAGCATTACAATATGGTAGGCATGGTTATCATTGAGGCTGAGACTTTTAAAACCACTTATGCTAAGACTATTAGGAAAGGGACCAAGCTGATACAAGAGTAGAATAAAAATCTGCACAGGTCCTGAGGATTTGGTTCCTGACCTTAGAAAAATGTCAAACATACATACATACATACATATATATATATGTGTGTGTATAAAAATATATATATATATATATATATGGTGAGTGATAAGGTAGAGATAAGAAATTTGGAAAGCTTAAAGTAAAAGAGAGAAAGCTGTATATTTGGAAACTATTATACTAACACTAATTATTATTAAATACATGCATTTGATTATGTGTGAGGTATTTCCAATAGAACTCTCATTTAAAGTCCCAATAAATGTTTTCCAAAGTATACTGAAACTATTTTATTTTATAGAAAAGGAGAGACTGAACAATCTACCAAGGGTTCAAGGTTAGTGTGCAGGGTGCCAGAAATGAAGTGGGTCCAAGTCCAAGCCTTTATCTAACACCTCATAGCTTATAAGAAACTTGGAAAGCTGAATCCTAAATCCCAACTATTTATCCTTATTGAGTGGTTCCTTTGCCATTGCTTGAAGGCGAAGAGTTCTGTAAGATATAAATATCTATCAATCTTTTTTTTGAAACCTTGCTTAATAGATTGTATTTACTGAACTGGAATTTGTCTCCATATAGGATTTATTCATTGATCCCATATTTTTCTTTATTCACATACACAGAATATTTTTACATGCTTGCTTTTGTACAATTCCTCCTCCTGTCCACTCATTCAAAAATATGATAATGTGGGCCTCCCTGGTGGCGCAAGGGGTTAAGCACTGCATTATGAAGCATCCGCAGCCTCTGTAGCAGGAGTTCAATCCCCGGCTGGCCAGAGAGAAACCCACATGGCGAGGCAGATCTCTCCTGTCTCACCCACTGCTCCCCTCAGCAGTGTATTTCAGTCAGTCTGCCTATTCTATTCCTCACTCTGTCTCTGGTGAATACACACACACACACACCCAGTATCTCTGGCCTGTGCCCCAGCTCTTGTATGCATAAATAAATATTTTTAAAAAAATAATTGATAATGTGTGCTGTTATTCCCAGAAGCAGGGATATAACAGGGCAAGAACAGATAAGAACCCTGCCCTTTTTAGGTTTAGATGATAGTGGGGAGAGGTAGGAAATAAAATTAATGAATATGAGACACACTGGAGAAGAGGTATGGGCAATGCGGACAGTGACAAAAATTGACATTTTAAGCAGAGTTAAGGAAGCGCTATTGAGAGCAGAGTCCTGGAGATGAGACAATGTCCATGATGCTCCATGATACTGTGTGAGGGAAGTGGTTGCTCAGGAGAGGCAGGGCTAGCACAAGTCTTTGAGGAAGAAATAGGCAAGGACGATTTAAGGAGTCAGTAGAGATGACTTTTAGCAAATACATCGAAAATTGGAGATGGGAAAGAAGTGGCTAGAAGGGTCTTGAGATATTTCTAGAATTTATCTACCTCAGCACCTACATTTGGGCTGGATGAGTGTTCGTGGTGGGAGGCTGAACCATAATTTGTGGATGTTTAGCACCACCCCTAATTTCCAGAGTCCAGTACACTCATCCCCTTATAGGCAACCCAAAATGACTTTACTAAATGACCTTAGAGAGGTAAAATCCACCCCTGTCTGAGACAGGAAGAGTCCCAGAACGGGAACAGGGATAACACAGGGATCAAGGACAAAAATTTTGCAAGAATTTTTCTGTTCCCACAGGCTGGTACACAACCGGTTAAAAAAACAGATAACTTTTGGCCTGGACACTTTCTTCCATAAATGTCCTTGGCTTGTTGTTTGTTTTCACAAATTTCCCCAGTCCAGGCATTTCTGATCTATCTTCCCACAGTTTCTTAAGTTGGCTGCTATGGGGAAAAGGGAGTTAAAAGACCCAGAAGAAAAAGGGAATCACAGACATTAAGATTAGACTGGTTCAGCGGGGAGATGCAGGCGCACAGCCTTCACGAGAGGCTCAGCTTGAACACGGTCCTGAGTCCCGCACACTACCCAGCTGCAGCTGATCGCTGCGCATAACAACAGCTGGACTTTAGCCAAGTCCAGGCCTTGCTTTTTCAGCCAATAAAATTTAATGCCTTTGTTCTCAAACTCCAGTACTAAAAGGGTCCCCAGGCTTCCCGAGCGTCTCTCATGTCTAGAGAGGTCTCCCCTGGGCGCCCCATTCTTGTTTTTTCTCAATAAACGCTGACTTCTTGCCTGTCTTCACCAGTGCATGTGGAATGGTCTTTTCAATCTTGACCAGAGGGTCTCAGGAGCCCTTTCCTCTCAGCTGTCCCTGGGGTTCCTGGCCGACGGAGTAGTGGACAGTGGCTGGCGCCTCGCTAACTCACCAGCCTCCTTTGTGGGGGAGGTTGGGATCCGACTCTGGGGCCCTGGCCCTTTCCATTGTCCGGAGGCCGGGGATTGAACCGGCGCTATAGAGGCTGCGGGCAGCTTCGCAGCCCAGCGCTCAACTGCTGCGCCATCGGGCGGCCCCACTGAATGTTTTTTAAAGCATAAGAATAATGTGACTTTCCATTTTAAAAGCATGGCTCAATTTTAAGCTTGCTTAAGCCAAACCACACACAACTTCCACTCACTGTGCCTGTGGGAAGCACCTTAGATCTCTCTCACCAGTGCAAGTCTAAGCTCGGGCCTCCCTGATGGTACAGGGGGTTAAGTCTCAGCACTATGAAGCTATCCGCAGCACAAATTCCATCCCTGGCTGACCAGGGAGCTACCCACATGGTGCAGCAGACCTCTCCTGTCTCGCCCGCTGCTCCCCTCAGCAGTGTATTTCTTCAGTCTACCTGTTCTGTTCCCTACACTGTCTCTGGTGAATCCTCTCACCGTCACCCCTCCCCACCACCACACAAACACCCCTCTGGCCTACACCCCAGCTCTTGTATGCATAAATAAATAAAATAAATCTTAAAAACACACACACACACACAGTTCGTGTTCAGGGTCATAACCCGCCAAGTCCCTGAACTCACCTCCTCTTATAAACACTCAGCATTTAGAGCCACATCTGAAGCAAGTTCCTCTGAACAAAAACAAACCCGAGAACTGGCTGCCGGTGCGCACCTGTGAGCAAGAGGCCCCCATAGAAGCGGCTGGAGGGCCCGAGACGCACCCTCACCCCCAACCCAGCACCGGGACCCACAAGCCCAGAGCTGCTCCCTGAGGAGCAAAGGGCTTCAACCCCACTTGGGTCACTTCCAATGTTTAAGACCTGCACCAGAGACATGACCCCACAACATCCACAGGACTCGGTCCTTGAGGCCACGCCGCTGTGAGGAGCTGAGAAAAGGGCTGCGCCCTCACTCACCCGCCTCAGGGTCCCGCGCAGAGCGTCCCCGGGGTGCTGTGGAACAGGTCCACTTGATTGTCTTGGGGCGCCAGTCAATGTGACATGAAATTGAGAGCCCGCTGGGGCGCGCATGCCCAGACTGGCCGGCACCTCCGAACAGCCCATACTCCAGCGGCTCTGGCCGCGGCGCCATCTTTGTTCCGGGCAGACTCAGCGTGATGGGGATGGTTACTCGGGGGCCCGGCCCCAGCGGGCTGCTGGCGCGGGCGCCTCTACTGAGAGCTCAGAGGAATTGTTGCCATGGGACACGGGTCACTTGTATTTTTTTTTTTTTTTACCTCTTTTGTGTATGGATATACTTTTTTTTTTTTTTAAGATTTATTTATTTTTATGCATACAAGAGCTGGGGTACAGGCCAGAGATACGGGGTGGCTGGGGTGAGAGGATTCACCAGAGACAGAGTGGGGAACAGAACAGGCAGATCCACTGAAAAACACTGCTGAGGGGAGCAGCGGGCGAGTCAAGAGAGGTCTGCTGCACCATGTGGGTTGCTCCCTGTCTGGCTGGGGATCGAACTTGTGCTGCAGAGGCTGTTGATTGCTTCATAGGGTGGTGCTTAATCCCTTGGGCCACCAGGGAGGCCCCTATGGATAGAATTCTTTAATAGTTCCTTTGTTTTATTTTTTTAATTGGCCTACCAATGAAACAGACCCTTCTATTAGGTTTCAGGTGTATAACACGATGGTTTGCTATTTATATATATAGTGAAATAATCACAATAATTCTAGTTAATTTTTGTCATGGTACATCGTTGTAAATTTCTTTTTCTTATGCTGAGAACCTCTTTTTTTTTTTTTTGGTGGGACCCTCGCCGTAGGCGGGGGAATGAACCTGCGATGCAGAGGCTGCGGGAGCGCAGCGCTCAACCGCTGCGCCACCGAGGGAGGCCCATGCTGAGAACTTTTAAGATGAACACTTTTGGCAACTTTCAAATATGTAAGGGACTATTATTAGCTGCAGTCACCCTCACCAGTGTCACCCTCACCAATGCTGTATGTGACCTCCTTACAACGTATTTGTTTGTTTTATAACAGGAAATTTGTCAAACCTCTTAATCCCATTTTCACACTTATACCCTGACTCTGCCTCTGGCAACCTCTGTATCTATGAACGTCTTTCTATATCTTTGGATTTTTATTTTATTTTATTTTTTAGTTTCCACATATAAACAAGAGCAGTATTTGTTCTTCTTTGCCTGACTTATTTCATATAGCATAATGTCTTCAAGGCCAATCCATGTTGTTGCAAATAGCAGTGTTTCATTTTTTGTGGCAGAACAGAATTCCATTCACACACACCCATTCTTCTTTATCCATTCTTCCATTGATGGGTACATAGGTTAGTCCCTTATCTTGGCTATTGTAAAGAATGTGGGAATAAATATGGAGGTGCAGCTATCTTTTCCAGTAGTGTTTTTATTTTTTCAGCTAAATACTCAGAGGTGGAAATGTTGGTTCACATGGTAGTTCTATTTTCAACTTTCTAAGGCACTTGAGTGTTATTTTCCATTTTAGCTGCACCAATTTTTGTCAACACAGCACAAGGGTTCCCTTTTCTTAACATCTACACCAACACTTGCTACTTCTTATCTTTTTAGTAATGGCCAGGTGTGAGATAATAGCTAACAAGTGTGAGATAATAGCTCTGTGGTTTTGATTTATATTTCCCCAATAGGACTACTGATGTTGAGTATCTTTTCATGTATCTGTTGGCCATCTGCCTTTCTTCTCTGGAAAGATGTCTATTTAGAACCTCCACCCATTTTTCGTCAGATTATGCAATATATTTTGTTTTTGAGTTGCATGAGTTCTTTATATAATCCCTGTTTATTCTCTTTTTTTAAGATTTATTTATTTATACAAGCATTGGGTACAGTCAGAAGCGCGGGAGGGTGAAAGAATTCACCAGAGACAGAGCGGGGAACAGAACATGCAGACTGATGAAATACACTGCTGAGGGGAGCAGCGGGCGGCAGGAGAGGTCGGCGCGCCATGTGGGACCCTTACCCGGCAACCGGGGATTGAACCAGCGCTGCAGAGGCTGTGGGCAGCTTCGCAGCCCAGCGCTCAACCGCTGCACCACTGGGGAGGCCCAATCCCTGTTTATTCTTATTGTCAAACATCCCCTCAAAATTTTTTACAAAGTGTATATGTACTTTTTCAAGTCTCATTGTACATTTCCTCCAATTCAATACAGTAGTTGGCTTTAGTGGGGAGGTGTGTTGAGGAAAGTTATTATCCCTGTACACACAAAATCTACCCTGCCCGAGAGAAAGGGTCTTATTGAGATTTATATGTATATTTCTCCAGGAACTATGCATTAAAGTAGTAGTCAGTAGATAATCTACAATAGAGATGCCTATTTAATAGCTTTTCTGTATAGCATCCTGATAAACCCATCAATCAAGAAGCATGATCAAGCATCCACAAAGTACTATGCAAGAAGTAATTATCAAATATTTGTTGCTTTGCTCCTAAACATGTCAACAGGATTTCTATTATGTAATGTTTTCTGCTTTTATTATCAACAGCATATATTTTGTAATTTGAATGATTAACTATACAAAATCTATGTTACTACTATAGTAACCAGTATTCATCATCACAAATGTTATTTTCTTCAATATATTCACCTATCTGATCAGTGTTTGTAACTGTGACTGTGTGTGAATGACATATATAGCAAGTGCTAGAGTTAAAACACATTCTAACAACAGTTATATTTTAGTGACATACAGTTCTGTTCCTGAACTTAAGATACATAATATCATTTGCTGTATTGCATTCTGTGTTTTAGATTTATCCATGATATCTTTCACATAGGGAATTTTGTGCATCAGGATTAAACTTGTAAATTTACTACATCTACTTATAGTTTGTCAGTAGGACATACTTTCTCCTAATTATAAATTTCTGCTTGTAAACCTCATTGTTGTCATTTATAATGGATCTTACTGACTCACAACATTGGACTAAGTGGGACCATGTTTTGACTCTTATTGGATTGTGTTGAACACATAGGGATAAGAAAACATTGAGATATATCATAAGAATTTGTGTTTTTTTCACATCCTTGTTTATTTTTTCACAATATTTGGATTTCTCCCTTCAAGTGTGATCATTATTGTTTTCCCACCAACAAAGCATTCACAGTCCACTATCATAGTCCTTTATGTTCTCCTCTCCCTATGTTCTCTCCTCATCCTTCCCCCTCCCCTCCTGAATGCCTCATATCTATGGTCTGCTTTCAGGGGTTTTCAGTTTTAAAGTCTGATCCTTTGTTTGATTTTTCTACATTCCACATATAAGTGACACCATCCAGTATTTATCTTTTTTCCTGCCTCACTGCATTTAGAATTCCTTCCAGTTCCATCCATGTTGCTGCAAATGGCATGAATTTATCTTTTTTTTTTTTATTTATTTTTTATTTTTATTTGTTTGTTTGTTTTGTTTATACAAGCACTGGGTACAGTCAGAAGCGCAGGAGGGTGAGAGAATTCACCAGAGCCAGAGCGGGGAGCAGAGCAGGCAGAAGGACCGAGGTACACTGCTGAGGGGAGCAGCGGGCGGCAGGAGAGGTCTGCGCGCCATGTGGGACCCTCCTCCGGCGGCAGGGGAGCAGCCGGGGATCTAACCGGCGCTGCAGAGGCCGCGGGCAGCCTCGCAACCCAGCGCTCAACCGCTGCGCCACCGGGGAGGCCCTGAATTTATCTTTTTGATTGTTGTATAGTATTCCATTGTATGTGTGTGTTGTATGTATACATATACATACCACATCTTCTTGATCCACTCATCTGTTCTGGGGCATTTAGGTTTTTTCCATATCTTGGCTACTGTAAATAGTGTTGCTATAAACATAGTAGTGCAGGTTTCCCTTTGTATCATTAAGACTCTTGAAGAATTAGGATTAAGGTTTATCAAGTACTGCCACAATTTGATTTCCCTTTCTTTAAAATATTTAATATAAAACATCAATGAAATGTTCAAATATTTATGGAACAAGACACAAATTATTATAAATTGCCACATAGATTTTGTAAAGGGAGCATAAACATCATTCTTTTGGGTGATCAACCCATCCTGTTCCATAGACTTTAAATTAAATTTCTAACCTGTGATAGCTATCTTATCATAATTTTATTAATGTTCATAAAGAACTTAACTGAAAAAATGTGATGCTCTCAAGGTAAAATTATTACTACCACAATAAAAAAAGTCAGTATCAACTCATGCTTTGAGGTCAGTATCATTATGGGTATTTATTGTAAAAATAACGTCTCTGGAAAAAAATCAATTTTTTTAACTACAAACTATTTCCTTCACAATTCCTCAAAAGTACATTAACATATATGGAGCTAGAGAAGCATGATTTTTAACCTGAAAAAACAATAGAGGACTATATATATATTAGTATTATATCAAGTCTGAACCTTGGTATGAAATAAGCATTTTCTTAGGTTCCACTCAAGGAATCAGCATAACTTAATAGTTTTTAGGAATTTCATTTTAAGGGATTTAAGATCTCTATTTTATGAATCTTTATGGATCAAGAAGTTATAGAAGGAAAATTTAGAGTATAAAATCAATTGGAAAAGAAGGAAACATTTACAGAAATAAAGCAGTAGTATGGCTAACATATTGTTCAATTCATAATATTATCAAATTCATAAAAAAGAATTTAAAAAGAAAGAAGTAATAAGCAAACTAAGGTGTACACAATAGATAAATATTAAAAAAAGTACACAATAGATAAAAGATGTTTTGTTCTAGCACTAAGTGATTCACAATTGCCTAGAGCACCATGCTAAGAATCATTTTGAAGTTGTCCTTTGACTTCAGAGGGAAAGAAAACAGGGACTTTATTGGTGATGGCTGCCATGGATGCCTGCTATCTGTCAAGTGTTTGCTATTTGTTATCTAAATTAGCCCCCTCATTTTATAGATGGCAAAATAGAAGCCCTTTGAAAGGAAGGGCATTTTTGCTGAAGGTCATGCAAACTTCTAATTGCAGATCAAGTATAGTCACTCCTATTTTAGCATAGAAAAAG